TTTTGACCTTATCAGATGGTGGGATTGAGCCCCTAATGCTCTGGCTAATATGTGACTTTATGAGCATTAGGCTTAAGCGATTGGATCGCTCCCACTTATCACAAGCACTCTCTTCTGCAGTGGAACTCTCGTCTGTGGGTTCAGGAGGTTCATCCACACGGAGTGCCAGATCGAGATCCATGCACCCTAATGTTAGAAGGATTCTGTCCTTCCAGTCCGAAAAATTATCACCGTTCAAGAATGGAATACGAGAAGACTCATTAGATAGTACAAAGGTAGAAATAACTGCAATTACCAAGAACATTATTAATGCTTTGAAACAATAGCTCTCGGTCTGATCACACCATGGTTTGTACATGAGAAAACCGAGATAAGGTGTAGCGAAAGGAAGAACCGGACTAAGGATAGTTCGGCCTACTCTGCGGCTCAGCATAGCCATGATTACTTCGGTCATATTGAAGTTCGGCCATGATAAAAACCATCTCACTTGGTTTAAGCAGTGAGGGGGGTGTTGAAGGATAAGCATTATCTTTCAGGAGTATGAATCCTAGGAGGACTCTGCATGGAGGAGTAGAAGTCCTACTAGGATTATGCCACACGAAACCTATAAAAGCTCACAAACATCACCTTTGGAGAGGCAACACACAACTTTGCTTTTTGAATACACGGAGCTTTTGTCTATTTGTCAAGCTTACTGACTTAGGCATCGGAGAGGTTTCCGGCACACACCCGCCGGCTAGCTCACGTTTGTGTTTTCAGGTGATAAAGCGACGATGTACAGAGGAACGCAGACTTGATCAACAGGATTATACGAGAAGGTTTATTTCTTTCCCGTACACTAATCAAAATACCATGAAGTATCATTTGACCGTGCTCCCGAAATACCCAATAGTCAAAGTGCGTGAACTCATTGTGATTGGTCTAAAATAATGTATCCCACACTAAAAAAATACATATTGTCTTTATTTAAAATTGTAAAGTCTCATGTATTTTAAATAAGAGTTAGACTTATCTCATCTTCACAACTCAATATTAGAGAACTTGAAGGGTTCATCATGAGTTTTCTTTCAATGATCTGAACATTTATTTTATAGAGTTTTCAATCATTCATGAAAAAAATTATGTCAAACCGATAATCATAACTTTTTTATTTTATCGTATATTTGTCTCTAAAAAATAAATGATCTATTTTTAAAAATTTATTTGTCATTAATTTTTTCGACGACAAATATGATAAAATGAAAATGTTACTATACAAGCATGAAATAATCTTCACTTCGTGTTCCTCCAAACCTCGTCGTATAGCCTAAAATTACAAAAACGTGAGCTAGCCGGCAAGTATATGCCAGAAACCCCTCTGATGCCAAGGTCAGCAAATAAAATCAACAAGAAGGAAAAGCTCTGTGTATTCAGGAATCAAGATTGCGATACCTAGAATTAGGCTAGGTTTGAGTTTTTATAAGTTTCTCATTGTAGAATCCTAATAGAACTCTAATTCCCATTCTTAGAGTCCCATTATGAATCATCTTCCTAAACGATAATGCCTATCCTTTACACCTTGATCACTTCAAACCAAGTGATATGGCACAACTTTTTTCGCAGCTCTCAACCGAGAATATGTGCTACTTTAGCCTTGCTAGTTCTTTGAAACAACTGAGCAACGTATAGCACTACGCAAACCCAGTGCAGCAAGCCGCTATGCTAATGCTGCTCAGCACTCCAAATAGCCCGGTCAACACCACGCACCCAACTGTGCTTGATTGGTCTTCTTATGATAATTGTTCCAGTACCACTGGAGGACAACCAAGCTAGCCCAGCCTCAGCTCAAATCCTAAGTCCACTGAAGTGTAGCGCGGTCTACGCACATTCTAGACATCTTTGACCGGATCGAACTCTGCATGGCCTAAACCATGCAATCCTCCAATTCATAGCCTGGCCGACAATAAAGGCCTAATTTAGGCCGGCCTAGATATCACATCACAAATTCCCCCTCAATTGCCTATTAATTCCATCTTTGAAAGATGACCGTGATTACTTGGTCTAGCCGAGATATAAGTTTTACCTCGGTCCAATTATGTGTCCAGTCTAAATCATTTTGGCGCTTCATACAACTAGCTTCACTAACACCACGTCATGTCTGGGACACATGGCATACAGCCATTGGTTTCATGCAATGGGCGCAGCTGTTACGCAAGACTCCCAAAAATTTGAATCATTGTGCCCTTTCATCTCCTATACATATAATCTATATATACAGATTCAAACTTTTTGCTATTCATCTATTTTTTATTGTTTTTTTCCAGGTGCAAACCTTAAGAACTAGAGCTTCAAACCTTTAAAATCTTGCATTTTAGACCCAGATTGAGGCATT